AGCTCTTGATTCACAATAATATTAACAAAGGTTGGTATTTGAAACAATTTTTCTTCAGTTTATTTAGTAGTTGTTTAAATTATATCCGTTGCATGCAATTCCCCTATACTCTCCTGTCATGTGATTGTGATCGACCACCTTATCATCTTTATTTGAGAATACTTTATTACAAATGTGACACGTTTCTGCGGAGATAAGGTTGTTAGTTACTTCTTCGTTCCACTCCAATTTAATATTTTGTTTTCGAAGCTTCACATAACCCTTTCCATAATAAATTGTTTGTTGAATTTTTTCATTAGAATTTCCTTTTGACTACTTCGTATTAAATTTACTCCATCGATTGTGTGGAAAGTAAAACTTTTGGGAATGTGTTCGTGAATGTATTGTGTTGTATCGGTGATCTGATTGTTTGTTTTCTGTAGGACACCTTCAAAATCGAGAGTGATTGTATAAGGATGGAATTCTTTTGCACAGTTACATTATCTTTAGGCATTTCTATTGCTACTTTTTCATCTATACAAATTTGAATGTTCTTCCAACTTTTCATTCTTATCAAACTTTGTGTGACATGTCATACACAAATGCATGTGACGATCTCTCTTGTGAATTTGTCCATTCAGTAGTGCTCATTTTCTTGATACCAACAACGTGGTTATTATACCGTGTGTTCAAATTAAAGTGTTACAGTTAAATACCGCCGAAAATGTGCATTTTAGAAAAAAAAAAGTTTCAGACAAAAGTTTTATAGTTTTTTGGGGGAAACATTTTGCCTAAATTCATTTTTTTATAACTGACCATAATATGGCCATATCGAGGTAGACTTTGTTTTTTAAATGGGAATCCTATTTTTTTACATATTCTTAAAGTACATATAAAAATAAGAAACTTTTGATGGAAATATTTTTTTTATTGGACTTTTACTTTTTGAGTAACAGCTACTTAAAAATTTTGCTGGGCGAAAAAAAAGTTGGCCATGTTATGGTTAGCTATAAAAAACGATTTTAGGCAAAACATTTTCCCCACAAAACTATAAAACTTTCGTCTGAAACGGTTTTTTTTTATAAAAGGCGGTATTTAGCTGTAACACTTTAATTTGAACACCCGGTATACTAGCAAATTCACATGTTTCTCACGAGTTTGTTGTTTAGATAGATATGACACTGTATTACCGCAACAGTATAACAGTATGTTTAGAAAATCCTCGTATTTTTTAATGTTTAACTCATCTGGATAGGTCATCTTCAATGTCCCCTATTTTTCAATGTTGTATTTACATACATGATTGGAATTTAAAGCAACAGGAGTTAGTATTCTTTCTAAGGCATATTCAAAACATCTCAAGTCTTCCTGCTTTAAACATCTAAACTTGTTTTTGTCCTTACATTTCTTACATTAATACAAGGCTTATGTGAAATTTAGCTTGGTAATTGTGCAAATGTCCCACCTCGTAATGGGTTGTGTTTGGTTTGTCAGATTGAATATCTAGCCGAATAATTTTATCAAACCTATATTTGGTGTTCTTTGCTGTGAATGCATCAACTTTGTCTACTAACTTATTCTTCGCATGTGTTAAAACAAAGTTTACAGTTTGTTCGTCAGTGTTTGCACCGATTTGGTGGACTTTCGACTTTAGATATATTTTTTGGAAGCCTACTTTTTCCTCTATTAAATTTATCTCATGCTATTGTGCAACAGCAATTAATTGAATTTTTAATTATTTCTTACGTTCAAGCTCCTTCTTAATAATTTGACATATTTTTTCCTGAATTTTGTATAAATATTTTATTAAATCATTTTTCTCTGATTAACAATAAACTGTATGATCTACAATCATACCATTCCATGCACCCTTTGATCTTAATACACGAACATCTTTCTCATATGAGGCTGGTAACTCGTTCAAAGTATTTGGCATTCTTTGTTTTGTTTGAAATTCATATTCATCGAACGATGTGAAAATTGTGTTGTCTTCATTAAAAATATTGATGTTTTCCTTTAATATAAATTGTACAACGATTCTTTTCCTGACTCATAAAATTTAGTTAATGGTAAGTGGTGTTGGTCTGTATAGTTTTTGGCTACTTGTTGTAACCTTTATACGGGGATTGAGTTGTAATTTGGTATTGTCAACTCTGTTGTGGTGATGTAAGTTTTTGGATTGGATTCTCGTTATACAAATTTACAAATTGTAAAACTGTTATTTCTACAACTTACTATATTTCACCAAATCGAGTTGATACTCTTTTCAATAACACCCAGCAATTTTTTGTAATTGTTTGAGAGTAAAATTTTTATAGTTTGTTAATATAATTTGATTCATCTTTTATTTATGTATACAATTTATTTCTTTAACTCAATTATTTTTTTTTATATTTTTTTTATCTTTAACTTAAAATTTTTTTTATTTTTTCTTTAAGTCAATTTTTCAAAATTCTAAATTTTTCTAAATTATTTGCAATAATTCAAATGCAAAATTATTGCAAAATTTTCAATTTAAAAATCTTATTTAGGACCGGCGATTTATACAGGGTGATTCATAACTATTGGGACATAGGCTAAGGGCAGGTTATTTGGACCAAAATATGGCGATTGGACCAAATATACCTTTATAAAATATGGCTGTGGAATAAGATACAGGGCGTTAAAGTTTAATTTTTTTTTTTCGTTTTTTTTTCTGATAATGTCACTGTTTATTTATGAATTGTTATCAAAATCGGCACAAAGGCATATCTTTGAAAAAGGAATAATATTTTATGTAATATTTCATATTTTGTTACAGGGGGCGCCACGTGAATGATTCCTGATGATGAAATTAGGTGGTAACTTTTTTTGGCGGAACTTTTTAGTGCTTTTGATTAGAAAATATTACCTAAAAATTATTTCTACGTAATATTGGTACTCTTGTTTAAACACGATAATTTCACCTGTTTTCGAGAAAAACGTAATTGAACAGTTCAGTGCCTCAGAAGGGGATTCCAAATAACACAATAAGAAAACTTGTAAGGCTTCTATTTCAACGGTAAAGCAAAATTAAAAACAATTTAACATAAAAAAAGCAAACTTAAATTAAATGTTCAATGTGACCTCCTCCGACTTCTATGCCTTTTCTAATTCTTTTAATAAAGGACTTTCGGATGGCAAAAAAAATATTATTCTGTCCCCTTATAAAATTACCCGCATTTTGTATGTTCCTCCAGAGTTCGTCTCGTGAATTAATTTCCTGGGTATAAACTAAGGACTTCATATGTCCCCATACATAAAGATCAAGAGGGTTATAGTCAGGACTTCTTGGTGGCCATTCAAAATTACTTCCTCTGCCAATCCAACGTTGAGGAAATATGTCACTTAGATAATTTGTAACAACTAATGGGAAATGAGGTGGAGCTCCATCCTGCATAAACCACATTTTCCTTCTTACATCTAGTGGCATATCATCCAAAATATATCTAAAAGTATTTTGCAAAAAAAAATAAATAGGAATCTCCATTTAAATTTGGAGGAAGACGATATGGTCCTAGTAGTTGGTCGCCTATAATGCCACACCAAATATTAAATTTAAACTCATGTTGAAAATGCCTTTCTTTACGAGCATGCGGGTTTTCTTCTTCCCAGTGATGACTGTTTCGATAATTAAAAACACCTCGTCTAGTAAAAGTCGCTTCATCGGTGAACATAATATTTTTAATAAAATTTCGGTCATCATTATGTTTGTTGAGAATACGTTGGCAGAACTGTAACCGTCTTGGGAGATCTCTTGGAAGCAAATTTTGAACAGGAATGAAGTGATAAGGATGAAACTTTTCTTTTTTTAAAACTCTAATAATAGACGACTGACTTACTCCTGTTGTTATTGCCAGTTGACGTGAACTTACTTCAGGATTTTCATCTACTCGAACCAAAATTTCATCTTCTTCATTAGGTGTGATTTGTTTCGGACGACCACCCAGATTTTTACTATGAAATGACCCGGTTTCACCCAAACGATGAAATAGATTTGCAAAAGTTTTGTGATTTGGTTACCTTCTGTCTGGATATAACAATGCATACCTTCTGGTTGCCATGCGACCGCAAAAATTTTCTTGTGCATATACACAAACCATATCCCGCATTTCTTCATTCGTAAAATGATCGTGACGAGGCATTTCAGTCGAAAAAGCTTTAAAAAATGCAACAATAGACTATAATCTAACAGCAAAAATAATTCATTGGCAAGAACTGACATTTATCAGACACAATTATCTGACAGTCCAAAGCACACTTTTCATAAATAAAATATTTTTTGAAATATCCTTCTGAGACTCTGAACTGTTCAATTGCGTTTTTCTCGAAAACAGGCGAAATTATCGTGTTTAAACAGGAGTACCAATATTACGTAGAAATGATGTTTACGTAATATTTTCTAATAAAAAGCACTAAAAAGTTTCGGCAAAAAACTTACCACTTAATTTCATCATCAGGAATCATTCTCGTGGCGCCCCTTATAAAAAAATGTGAAATAATACATAAAATAATATCCCTTGTCCAAAGATATGCTTTTGAGCCGATTTTGATAACAATTCATAAATATACAGTGAGATTATAAAAAAAAAAAATACGAAAAAAAAATGTAACTTTAACGCCCTGTATCTTATTCCACAGCCATATTTTATTAAGGTATATTTGGTCCTATCGCCATATTTTGGATCTAAATAACCTGTCCTTAATCTATGTCCCAATAGTTATGAATTACCCTGTATACCACTCAACAGGTCTTACACCGGCATGGATATTTACGTTGTTTATTATAAACGCACAGCGGCTTACACATTTATTCATTGATAAAAAAAGTATCTGTGTAAAATTCTTCTCTTTATCCCCTCTCTTACTTCTTACCTTTATCTCCTCGCTGCATCCCTACAAATAGAGCATATTGATTGTCGATTTAATGTTGACATCGTGAATATTATATTTTATCAATGTTATCTCTGGTATATGGACATTAATAGTAGGTAATTGTTTAGATGGAGCCGAGATAAAAACAAAGGAAACGAATGCATTTCTTGTGGATTGAAATGTTGTATTTGCTGTTTTTACTGTTTGGAAAAATTTATTCGCTATTTGAATCACAATGCGTATACTGTTATCGCTATAGACGGCTCCCATTTCTGCAAAGCTGCTGGAACGGTGAGTATTAAATAATAATAATATTAGTAATATAAAAGTTCCCTTTATTACTCTTTCTAATTAGAAGTAACAACAACAAATATGCTGTACTTGTTATACACATACGAATACTCATTCAGACATTAATATCTCATCTCTATCGATAAAAAAGTAAGCCTATAATAGAATCTCAATCGACACGGAGTTATAAATTAAAATTTTATGGGTGTTTTACAGCACAGGCGGCTCTAACAAAATCTGTGATTTTTAAACAGCCGGCAGTTATAAGGTGTGTTGATTTTAATAAATTTACCTGTGCCGCCCGGTTTTCGTGGAACGTAACAATGAGATACTCTTATTTTAATCCCTTTTAAGACTCTGATAAGCGCACGGTTGGGTAAATTAGGGGGTATTTGTATTATAATTTTAAACTTAAATAATTGTAATTCAACCTCCGGGGTGCTTTGTTGTCCACTCGCCACTCACCAATGAAAAAAAATTTTTGGTTTGCTAAGGCAAATTTTTTGTTTTTTGTGTTTTTTAGGTGGTAACATATCAAGAACTTGGTAAATTCAATATTTTTACCACTTTTTTGACATGCTCCGATTTTGCTTGCGTTTTTGCAGTCTTGCGCGTTTTTGAGCTTTTTTTGGTGGTTTAGTTTCTGGCAGCGTTGATTGGGTGGTTTCAACGCCGCGCCGCCAGACCATACTCATATGATTATACCATTTAGATATAAAATAGACATGCTTACCTACTCTTGAAAATCAGGAAACGAGAAAGTCTCTGAATCACTATATTCACTTGATGAGTCACTATTTACTGATTTTATTAAAGATTCCACGTTTTCTTCTTCTTTTACCACATATTCGATTGCCTTTTGCCAATTTTCCTTCGTAATAAGTGATATGGAGGTTTCTAACAATCTTTTAACTTAAATGTCGTATTATGTGGACCTACATATCCTTTAACTTGTGACCATATCAGTTCAATAGGATTTAATTTGCAGTGATAGGGAGGAAGACGCACAACATCAATACCATGTGTTTTTGCAAGTTCATTCCCTACATAACGCTGGAGGCTTATTTAATTTCACAATTTTTAGTAGTTCTATTTTTATTGATTTTTCTGGAAAGTTAATGCTCCCGGGCTCTAATCAGATTATTAATGCCAAAAATTATGTCTCATCAAATTTTAGGCAATAATAACCTGATTAGAGCTCGAGGGCTTTAATCAATTGATTATTAATGCCAAAATTATGTAGAATCAAATTGTAAAATGTTCTGGAAATTTAGATTTAACAAAAATAGCTGACTATTATCAAGGTCTTGGTATATTACCCTTGACCATCTCCCTAGACCAAATATTAGCGACTATTTCTCTAGAGCAGTGGTCGCCAACCTGTCGATCGCGAGCTACCGGTAGCTCGCGGAGGCAATTCTGGTAGCTCTCACAACGATTTTAATTTAAAAAATACAAACTGCAAAAATCAGAGAAGCTTCCGAAAATTTCACAAAAAAAATCTAATTGTCATAATATTAAACATAAACAGCGGCAACGTTGCGGTGAGCGATCTGCCGCTGACGCCATCAAGCTAGAATCGGCTAGAACCGACCAGCCGGACCAGCGCGTTACTGTTCGAGAACGATCAGGATTGCTTTGAACGGGATAAATACGCACGGCGCGGCGACATTGCGCTTAGTTTAAAACTGAACGCGTAACCAACGTCCAGCGGTTGGGTTAGTAGAGAACAACAAAAAATAATATTATGGCAAGCAGTTGTAAGAAGGTAAAAACATACCACTTTCATTCGGAATGGGAAGAACAATACTTTTTTACAGAAGTTAAAGATAAAAATGTGTGTTAGTTATGTAATACTTCGGTCTCCGTTGCTAAAAAAAGGAAATATTGAGAGACATCATAAAACTGTACATTCTAATTTTGAAAAATCATTCCCACTACATTCTGCCGCCAGAAAGGAGAAACTGAAACAGTTAAAAAAGCAGTTAATTGGACAACAATCAATATTTTTAAGAACAGTCGACAAAATTAAGGCTGCAACTGAAGCATCGTACCGTGTGTCCCAGATAATTGCACAAAAAAAAGAAACCTTATGAAGACGGGGAAATGATAATACAGGCGTTTTTAGAAGCTGCTGATTCGTTATTTGCCAACTTTAGAAATAAAGACGAGATAGTTTCAGCTATAAAATCTATGCAACTTTCTGCTAATACAGTGATGAGACGTGTAGAAGTAATGAGCAATGATATTTTTTTACAGTTAAGAACTGACTTAGATAACTGTGTTTATTTTTCACTTCAACTGGATGAATCAACAGATGTCGTTGACACTGCCCAGATGGCTGTGTTCGTCAGGATGGTTTTTAGTGATTTTACGATTAAAGAAGATCTTTTGAAGTTTATTCCACTGAAAGGACACACTACTGGACAGGAGTTGTTTTCTCATTTAAAAAATATTATTTCTTCCGAGAAAATTCCAATATCGAAAATGGTAGGCTTGACAACCGATGGCGCTCCAGCTATGGTGGGTTGTGATAAGGGTCTGGTGGCGTTATGTCGTAAAGATGAAACTTTTCCGCAATTTCTCTGTTACCACTGCATTATCCATCAGCAAGCATTATGTGGAAATTTCCTGAAACTAAACAACGTTATGAAACTGGTGGTAAAAATTGTGAACAAGATTAGAGCTCAAGCGTTACAAGGAAGATTATTCAAAACCTTGGCCGATGAAGTTGACTGTCAATACGGGGACCTACTCCTTCACTCTGAAGTCCGATGGTTAAGTAGAGGACGGGTGCTGAAACGTTTTAATGATGTCCTATCTGGCATAGTTCAATTTTTCAAACAACGCGATGAACCGACTCCGGAACTAGAAAATTCAATCTGGCTTAGACATTTTGGTTTTCTCGTGGACATTACAGAGAAATTAAACGAACTTAATTTGCAGCTTCAGGGGAGAGACAAAGAGCTAGCGGAAATGATTTCTGATATAAAAGCATTTATCAAAAAGCTGGAGTTTTGGGAACAAAACCTAATTAACAGCGATGCCAAGCATTTTCCTATTCTTTCAGAAAAAATATCTCAAAATCCATTAGAACCCTATGACAGCAAATATGTAGAAATAGTTTCTACCCTGAAGAATAACAAAAATCGTTTTAAGGATTTCAACGAAATGGCTTTTTAGTAGCGCAGCTTGTTTCACCCTTTATGGAAATTGATATCCAACAGTTTGCAACTTGTGTTATGCAGAACTTTGGCGAAGACATCGCTGCAACAGAAATGGAAGTAATTGAGTTTCAAAATGATTTAGCCTTAAAATCGTTAGTCTCAAATACCAAATGTATCTGGCCTATTGTAAGTAAAGACAAATATTCAGTTCTATGCTGTGTTGCCTTGAAAGTGGAAGCATTATTCAGTTCAACATATTTGTGTGAATCTTCTTTTTCCAATATGAAGTTTATTAAGAACAAATATCGCAATCGACTTACAGATGAACATTTGGATAATTGTATTCGAATGGCTGTATCAAATTATACTGCAAACATTAAAAAAATTATCGATGAGTCTGAGTGTCAGCCTTCTCATTGAACGTGCTTTTTTATTTTTCAATGTTTATGTTCATGATAGTGCGTTACTTTTTTATTGTTATTATTAACTATTTTTAAATCTTACGTGACATGCCGTTGTGGCTGGATAAAAGTTTGTGTTTATTTTTCAAACACCTTCGTTTGGTAGGTAGGAATGTAGCTGTGAACAAGTACGTACTAGTAATATTAGTTATTTTGTTATTAGTTTATTATTAGTACCTATGTATTATGTATTACCAGTTAAATAGTAAAATAAATACATATAATGATAAATTAACTGTGGATTATTTCATTTACGTTGCGTTACGTGGCTTCCGTGTGGGTAGCTCGCTGTTTATTCCAAAAATAACAAAGTAGCTCAACACATTGAGAGGTTGGCGACCACTGCTCTAGAGAAATAGTCGATATTTGGTGTAGTGAAATAGTCGTCCCAAATATAACACGACCTTGATTAATATTCTGCTATTTTTGTTGTTACTAAATTTCTCGAACATTTTACAATTTGATTCTACATCATTTTGGCATTAATAATCAATTGATTAAAGCCCTCGAGCTAAAGCTCTCGGGCTCTAATCAGGTTATTATTGCCCAAAATTATGTCTCACCAAATTGATATTAAAATATTCTCGAAATTTAGATTCAACAGAAATAGCTGACTAACTATTGGCATTAATAATCAGTTGATTAAAGCCCTCGAGCTAAAGCTCTCGGGCTCTAATCAGGTTATTATTGCCCAAAATTATGTCTCACCAAATTGATATTAAAATATTCTCGAAATTTAGATTCAACAGAAATAGCTGACTAACTATTATCAGTGTCTTGGTATATTACCCTTGAATATTTTTTTGTTAGAAAGGGGGTATTTCAGGGGTGGTCCCATATAGATTATATTGTTACGCTGGTTTTTGGTATCACAATTTATTTCAACTGAACTTTACAATGACTATAATTCAACTTTGACAATAACTTTACAACTGATGACATTCACGTATAACGTCTATCATAAAACTAAACTCTGACGTCAGGTCGTCGACTTATATAGCTTTCTTGACCTTCTCAAACCTTCTCGACCTGTCATCTAGAATGTTCTTGACGGGTAATGACATTTCTGGAATATTCTTTTACTTGTACTTTTACTTATGACGACCGCAGCACACTGTAGAGTGATGAGTAACATTCCACTTCTTTTTCTATCTGTACGTTTCCTATGATAGCCGCAGGCTACTGCAGCGTGTTGCGTAACAATATTATTATTATTTTTATATTTTTTATGGTTTTAGGCTTTTGAAGTACTAACGACACACGCTCTGCAAGTCGCAACGATAAACAGTTTAGGAGACTTTATATTGTTTTTGGGAAAATGTCTCGTGACTGCGGTTACTGGATGCGTCGGTTTGGCGATATTCAGAAGAAATCCAGACTTGACGTTTTATGCGGCGCCGACGTTGATCGTCTGTATTTTCGCTTTCTTCATTGCTCATTGTATCCTGTCATTATACGAGGTAAGATCTGTGTATTTAAGGATCGGCTAACGCCTCCGTTTTTAAAAAGTGTACTTAAATTACTTTAGCATTTCACTAAATTAATTCAAATATAGTGTTCCAATTAAAACGGCATACATATCTGAAAACACTATCTAGTTGATTGTACCTGTCAAGTCCAACTCATGACAGTAAATTCTAGATAATTTCAATTCAGTTGCTCATTTTATTAGTAATATCGAGACGATGTTGTAAAGCTATTTTTTTCTAAAGTATCAATAGAAATATGTAAAATTCACACATATTTATAATGACATGGATATTTCTGTACGTTACAATTAATTAATCGATTCATTTTAATTAATCGAATATTTTCAAAACTGGAAGTGGGCCAAATAATCGATTATTTTTTTTTTTTGAAAAATCGATAATTACTCAGTTTTTTTTTTTAAATCAAATTTTGTTTCTTGTTTGTTTTTGGAACACACTATGTAATGCAATACGACATACTCTTTGAGTACCTACATAGATAACAAGAAAGTGTATTTAAACATTGTTGTTAACAACGTGCTCGAAGAGCACGTCGCAATCCGTTATACAAAGTGTCCCAAAAAATGTATACGCAAAATATAAATATACTGGCTGACCCGATACCGCTTCGATGGAATTTCTTAAATCTCAATTATTAAAAGTAAACAACAGTTCGTTACTCGAGAGAAATTTTTTCATGCGATACCTGGCAATTTTTTTTATTAATTTTTATTAATTTTTATTAATTTTTATTAATTTTTATTAATTTTTATTAATTTTTATTAATTTTTATTGATTTTTATTAAATTTTATTAATTTTTTTTATTTTTTATTTTTTTTTTAATACTTTCTATTCATTTTTAATAATCTTTATTAATTTTTAATAGTTTTTATTACGTTTTATTAACTTTTATCGATTTTTATTATTTTTTAATAATTTTTATTGATTTTTATTAATGTTTATTAACTTTTATTAATTTTTATTACTTTTTATTAATTTTTATAAATTTTTATTAACTTTTATTATTTTTTATTGATTTTTATTAATTTTTATTGATTTTCATTAATTTTTATTGATTTTTATTATTTTTTATTGATTTTTAATAAGTTTTATTAGTTTCTAATAATTTTTATTAATTTTTTATAATTTTTATTAATTTTTATTCAATTTTAATAATTTATATAATTTTTTTTTATTTTTATTAATTTGTATTGATTTTTATTAATTTTTATTGATTTTTATTAATTTTTATTATTTTTTATTAATTTTTTATTAATTTTTATTAACTTTTATTAATTTTTATTAAATTTTATTAATTTTTTTTAATGTTTTATTATTTTTTTTAATACTTTCTATTAATTTTTATTAATTTTTAATAATCTTTATTCATTTTTAATAGTTTTTATTACGTTTTATTAACTTTTATTGATTTTTATTATTTTTTAATAATTTTTATTGTTTTTTATTAACTTTTATTAATTTTTATTACTTTTTATTAATGTTTGTAAAATTTTATTAACTTTTATTATTGATTTCTATTAATTTTTATTCATTTTTAATGATTTTTATTGATTTTTATTAATTGTTATTAATTTTTATTGATTTTTATTAATTTTTGTTGATTTTTATTAAATTTTATTAATTTTTGATAATTTGTATTACTTTTCTATTAACTTTTATTGATTTTAACTATTTTTTAATAATTTTTATTGATTTTTATTAATTTTTATTACTTTTTATTAATTTTTATAAATTTTTATAAGTTTTATTAGTTTTTAATAATTTTTATTCATTTTTAATGATTTTTATTAATTTTTATTAAATTTTATTAATTTTTTTTAATGTTTTATTTTTTTTTAATACTTTCTATTAATTTTTATTAACTTTTGATTTTTATTATTTTTTATTAATTTTTATAAATTTTTATTAACTTTTATCGATTTTCATTAATTTTTATTAATTTTTAATAAGTTTTATTAGTTTTTAATAATTTTTATTCATTTTTAATGATTTTTATTAATTTTTATTGATTTTTATTAATTGTTATTAATTTTTATTGATTTTTATTAATTTTTAATAATTTGTATTACTTTTCTATTAACTTTTATTGATTTTTATTAACTTTTATTAATTTTTATTACTTTTTATTAATTTTTATTAATTTTTATTTTTATCAATTTTTATTAACTTTTATTAATTGTTATTAATTTTTATCGATTTTCATTAATTTTTATTTATTTTTAATAATTTATATTGATTTTTATTAATTTTTATTGATTTTTAATAAGTTTTATTAGTTTTTAATATTTATTTTTATTTTTTTTTATCTATTTATTTTTATTCATTTTTATTATTTAGTTTTACGATATTTCCTATTTCCGCCTTCCTTAAAATATGAAAATCCAAAAACCTTGAAATACGTCATTATTTACTAATAATGAGTAGCTACAATTCCAATCTTCAAGTTCCTACCTTACAACCTTTCACCTCCCTTTTTCCCCCTTTATGTCTATGTATTTATGATAAGTAGAGCTACAATTCAAATTTTCAATTTCCTACCTTTAAAAAAAGCGATACACAACTTTCCCCCTTAACCCCCTCACTCCCCTTACTACCTGACCCCCCTTTACCTTCATTTCCTTCCTTTTTCACATTTCTCCCATTTCCCCCTTAAAATATGAAAATTCAAAATTCCTGATACCATTATTTATTTGTGATGAGTAGCTATAATTCCAATTTTCAAGTTCCTACCTTTAAAAAAAATCGATACTTTTATACAATCTTATAACCCCCTTTCCCCCCACCTTAAAATGTGAAAATCCAAAAACCCTGGAACTCGTCATTATTTATTTATGCTCAGTAGCTTTATTTCAAATTTTCATGTTTCACTACTACTATACAAAAATCATGTCTGTGAAAAACAAAAACAAATATATCCCACGGGAACCGTATATTTTTTCAGGATAAAAAGTAGCGTATGTGCTATTCCAGACTATAATCTATCTTTGTGCCAAATTTCATCCAGAGTCGTTCTTGCGTGATTAGGCAATAAACATCCAAACTTTCGCATTTATATTTAGCATGATATTCTTGATAAAATATTCTACATCTCTTGAGAATCCATAAGCAAATACCAAATTTTGTAAAACAGGTGATAGTATACAGGGACTTTTTTTTTTGAAGTGCAATCAATCATTTTTCTCACGTGCATAAAACTTTTTGGAACACACTGTGTAATGGATTGCGACGTGTTTTTTGAGCATATCGTTAACAACAAAGTGTATTCAGGTATTGTTGTTAACGAAGTGCTCAAAGAGCACGTCGCAATCTGTTATACAGTGTGTCCTAGTAAAATTTATACACAAGAGGAAAAGTATTGTTTATTCTTGATAAAATGTTTTGCATCACTTTGGAATCCATAGTCAAACATTAAATTTTGTAAAATGTAGGTGGTATACAGGGAAAATAGGTTTTATTTTTGGAAGTTATTGAATATACCGGGTGTTCAAATTAAAGTGTTACAGTTAAATACCGCCGAAAATATGCATTTTAGAAAAAAAGTTTCAGGCAAAAGTTTTATTGTTTTTTGGGGGAAACATTTTGGCTAAATTCATTTTTTTATAGCTAACCATAATATGGCCATATCGAGGTGAACTTTGTTTTTTTAAATGGGAATCCCATTTTTTTCATACATATTCTTAAAGTACATAAAAAAATAAGAAACTTTTGAGGGAAATATTTTTTTTATTGGACTTTTACTTTTTGAGTAACAGCTACTTGAAAATGTTGCTACGCGAGAAAAAAGTTTGCCATATTATGGTTAGCTATAAAAAACGATTTTAGCCAAAAGTTTTTCCCTACAAAACTATAAAACTTTCGTCTGAAACGTTTTTTTTTTTATAAAAAGCGGTGTATAGCTGTAACGCTTTAATTTAGAACACCTGGTATAAAATTAAGACCAAAGTAATAATAGTAAATAATCGTTTCACAGGTGATACAGATCTTTTTATCAAGAATAATTTTTTTTAAACTGTTTTAGAACACACTGTGTAATGGATTGCGACGTAAGAGCACGTCGTTAAAAAAAGTGTGTTTAGATATTGTTGTTTTATGTAAAAATTAAAAATTATTTTTGGTAAAATGTACATCATTTAGGAATTCATAATTAAACATATTTTTCTCATGTGTATAAAACTTTTTGGAAAACACTGTATAATAGATTACGACGTGCTCGACACGTCGTTAACAACAAAGTGTATTCAGGTATTGTTGTTACGATGTGGCATATGTAGCGCCCTCTACATATTAAATCGAAGTAGGTACCAGATTATGATTTTTCGTGACCAAAAACTCACAGTTCCAAATTATAATGTATACATATCCAAAAACGTTATTGCATAAAATAAATCTTAAAATGTAACCTTTAGCACCCTGTATATTCCATATTAGCAACATTTTATTAAGGGCCGTTTGCACCACTTCAACTTACAATTACGGTTTAGCTAAGGTGTACCTTGACTTAAGGTGAACCTTAAGTTTGGTACGTTTTGAATAGGTTTCACTTAACAAAATCTATGCTAAGGTGAAGAACAACTTGGCAGCAGTGTAAAATTTTAGAGAATTTGTATATTACTAATCAATGTCAGTGTCAAGTTGTCATCTATTTGATTAAAGTTTGTGTTGTAATTTTGCATTTTGTACTTTAACAGTTAAGATGGAAAATAAAACAAAATTAAAAACTGAAACCAAGCGTGCACCAAACTATTCAGTTAAAGAAAGAGTTTATTATTAAACATTCTATACCGCTATCAAAACTTTCAAAATATTGCGTTCTGTAAATATGTCGAGATATCCCAAAAATAATTAAATTTAACTCATCAAAATCGTCATCATCATCATCATCATCGAAAATATGTTCCAAAAATTCTATTTATACTTTATTTCGGCCACACTTTTATCTAATTCTAATTATATTATTTTCTATTGATAA